TATCTCAGACCCTTCAACTCTAAACAGCCTCCTGTGCATAATCAAAACGGCTTAACTGCTCTAGAAGAAGTAAATTATAACATTTGGTTTCCAAGTTTGAATAAAATGACAGCTGACAGGGATAATAACATAAATTATTAAGTAAAGCTTTTCATCTTTGCATTTTACATTTTAACATGCTAAAAGGATGCATTAGCCATAGAATCTAACGTTAAACCAGACAGGAAAAGGGTGAGCTGAATAAAAGCGTCTCACCACTCCAACACAATGTCCTGCTGTGGTCGTTCCTAATGCAGCAAGAAAGAAAGAAAGAAAGAAAGAAAGAAAGAAAGAAAGAAAGAAAGAAAGAAAGAAAGAAAGAAAGAAAGAAAGAAAGAAAGAAAGAAATGATTTATTAACTTAAGAATTTCATGTATAAATAACTATATAAATGGTTAAATAATATATGATATAAATATATAATAATACAAATAAATAAACTAGATCATTTTACCTTAAAATGTTTTTACCATTAATAAATATTTAGATTGAAAATTACACTAATTAATTTCTATTATGAATAAGCATTTCTTATTTTTCAGATAATTATATCATTGGACTTCCTATGTAGAAATTGTTATGCAGCTGTATAATCTCTCCCCCTGATTTAGTTAATAATGGCAACCATTCGTGCACTATGATATTTTGGAAATTCCAGTAAAGACACCACAACATTTCGCACATTTAACCCAGTATGTTGAAATCCCAGCAACTATCAGCAAACTCAGCAACTCTGCTGCTCCTCTTGATTTAGAAAGTGCCATTATTTTTTTTTTTAGGCTGCTGACGGTAAAAAAATCAGTGATTGGATGAGGAGGAAGATAATATGTTATGCATGTTTCATGGACTCAGGTGTTAATGACCATTTTATGTCTGTTTTAAGGGGAAAATAACACATATTGGATTGGTTGGTGTAGAGGATGATGGGTGTGTAGGGTACATGAAACAGGGACAGACGGGGGCAATGCCCTCGGTCAGGAGGGAAAAGACGGAGTGGCGCCTGCTGAGGTGAATCTGTCCGTCATTCTGGTGCCTGGGTTTGTTTGGCCAGCAGATTGCTGATGATAGCCTGATCAGAGAAGCGTACAATTTTGTAAAAAAATAATTCCCTCTGATCTTATATTTCTGGTGCTTTTTTTTTATATTTCAGTTTTTTCCACACTCAAAGAACAATGGATTTATATTTTGGTTTGTCTCTCTCTATAGCTGAAAAGTCTCAACATGACATCACGTGAGGTGAGTCACGCCCTGTGAGTCATGGCACACAGATTTTTTTTTTTTTTTTTCATGAATGAACATCACGTTCAGTTTCAACAGTGAAGAAAAAAAAACATCTCTGTTGCACAGAAACAATCTAAATCTCTGACAGTGGCGACAACATGTTGACTCTGCCTGAATGCTACAAAATGATGGACAGATTCCAAAAGACATGGAGCCATTGCTGTTTGGATTTATTGACACTGACGTCGTGGTCACCCAAAGCAAGCACATGGGCCTGCAGGGTTATCAGCGAACGAGACAGGCTGGCGCAGAGGTCCTGCAACATGCGGTTTCATAATTGAGTTGGTGGAAGAAGTTAAAAAAAATACTTTGAGGGTTTAATAAGAATTTAAATGGTCTCTGATTTTTATCAGTAAACACAGTTCCTGTTTATCACTTGCCATTTTTATTTTGTATAATTAGATTTTTTGCCGAATTGATTCAGCATTAATTCATAACCGAAGGTTGTTTTAGATGATTTTCTTTAGACTGAAAGGTTAATTAATCTCAAGTCTTTTTGTCTCTCCCTTACAAAATGAATATAATAAATTCAAAATTACACATTTTTACTGAAACTTGTAGCAGTCAGTGTAATTATCAAGATATTTGCTTAATAAACAGGCTCTCTTTGGAGGATAATCATTGTTATTACTTCCAGGGCTGCAACTAATGTATAGTTTGTCAATATTTTCCCCAATAACTCAGTTAAAGTTTTCATCTATCTCTGCTTTCTATCCCCTCTGATCACAGCTCCAGTACTGTATATATTTTACTGCCACACCCTTAATATCATATGTATTATTGAAACAAATTTAAACTGTAATGTTTGAGAAGGCAAACTTTACTTATGTGCTCTGGTTCACAATCTAAATTAAGAATGTGTGCTCAGATCTGGGCTGAATTATTCGTCACTTACTACAGATTTAATTTCAAGTACCGGTAGTTTGCAAAGTTTCTGACAACCTTAGTTCATGTCAGGCAACTACAATAAGCAGGAAAAAAGCTTGCAAAATGTATTTTTTAACAAATATTTTTTTAGCTCATTATTCTTAAGAGTTAGGTCTAACTCTTAAGGATAATGGTAAGATTCTTAAACAGAGTCTTTAATTGTTGTGAATGCACACTCCAGATTTGTTAGATGAAATGGACAAATAACTCAAAAGTATACTTTTACATATTTTTCAGGTGCAGTTTTGCAGTTTTCACATCCTGTAGAGTGAACTGATTTGGGATTCAGTCAGGCTCTGTACTAGAGCCTGGGTTAAAGCAATGGTTGGTATTGAATAATTCAGTGCAGGTTTGGCTGATTCTAACATACCAATATTTGCTGGTGCAGAGTTGTCAAAATCTAAGTGATGAATGAGATGACAACTCCTTTTTCATCCTACTGACTGATTTAGTGCCTTTTCTACCTGTCATCAACCAATATGAAATCCTAATAGCTTAGCAACAGTTAATATTATTGTGTTGTTTAAAAATACAGAAAAAGAGCTGTATATATGACTGAGCTAGTTGGTAATATAGATCTATTTATTTAAAAATATAAACTGCATAGCTGAAGCTCATTGATTTTTTTGGATTTTAGCACATTTCAGCATGCCATGCCGAATGTGGGTTCAGCTCAGTTTTTCTAAAGCCTGAACATGTGTCCAGTGCCATTTGAATTACTAAAATGTGCGCATTTAGAGTTTGCATTGGGCTCTGCAGTGCTTAGTTTTCGGGTGCTCATGCATTACAGTTGTGCTGCCACTGAAGCAGAGCTCTGCTTTGCACGGCCTACTTTTAGCTTACTGACAGATATAAGTGGTGACAGACAATGGAGACCACCCTGACCCCACAGCTCGAGGACCAGTAAACATTTTATGGTTTAAATCATATCCAAGCAATGTCTAAAATGTCAAACTTGGCTAAGATTGTGATAGCTGGTCTAAAAGGGAACATTCTTTTGATGTACGTCTCTGATCTTTAGACATTCACAAGCAGTTTAAGTGTGTACAGGTTTTTACAAAGATAGGAAATCTCTGAATGATTGAATTGTGTGACATTAACTGTTATGATTGCTGAATCAAATGGCCAAAGACCTGCGAAGACACAGCAAATGTAAGTGTTCCTGACATGTCTGTGTCTTCCATCCCATAATTAATTTTTTCGCTGCTGAACTGAAGAGATCCTTTAGTGCAAAACCGCTGCATCACAGGACCCTTCCTTCCAACTGCTGTTAGACTCTCTAACCATCTTTGCTAATATAACCTCAATAAGCATTTTAATATCCATGCCATTATATGCTAAGATTTTGTCTGCCCAGTAAATGTACAAATCCATGCTGATAAAATCGCAGTTGTTGTATTTTTTTTTTTTTGCGAAAGGTTGGTAGTTCTAATTTTTCCAAGCATGGTCAGAGATGCACAAGTTGTGGGACTCACCTGGTTGTGTTGCATTTATTTTAAGCTTGCCATTTTGGTAACTACACAGTATTTATTTTTGCGATGTGGGTGTTTTTCCATCACTGTATAGACTATTCTATTTTTTGTTTCCTTTCGTTTTGGTAATTTCTTTGCTTTGCCATTTATATCTGAATTCATTATTTGAATAGAATATTTCTGTTCATGCTCTCTCTATTCATCCACAGCATTTAAGTAATTGAATATGTGTTTATATTTCTTTATTTTACAAATTTGTAACTGTGAAATAAAAAATACGATACTTCGCAGATATGACTACAAAATAAAATAAGAGGTTTAGGTTAGTGCATTCTTGCTTTATTACGGGCTTTGTTGTGGTCCTGCTGAAGTCATAATTAAAAGTGAAGGACAAATCATTGGATCCCTAACTTTGAAATCAGGTGCATTGCTCTATTATAAAGCAAACCATTGATGTACGTAATTATGTGAAATATACTGACAATAACATTTTGCATTCTCCACAGTAAAATACCTGCAACTACCTGCAAATACCTGGAACTTTGTATTTCTTTGCTGCTTCAAAAGAATATACCTAATTGTATTACTTTTCACATCTCTAACTAATACATAATAAAACACATTGACTCTCATATAGAGTTTTTTTTTTTAATCCTGACCACCAGTCGCTGCTCTCAAAGGGATTTAATTTGGTTCAACTGCAGGTTCCCACACATTATGCAAAAACAGAACATGTTGAAAATCTGGGCTAATTAGTCCATTTGAGAGGTTGTAATTACATCCTTTAGACTGAGCTATGGATATTCCAAAGTGGCTGGTTCTCTGTCACGAATGATATCCTGGTTGAAATGAGTGCAGGTCAGTCATCCATGCAATAGACTGACCTGTGCAGTGTCAGCCTTTGCTGGGAAATCTCCAGTGCTCCTGTCAGACCTGCTTTATCAATGGTCTCTTTTAGAGAATGCATATTGCCCATGAATGTGTATTACAGTAACAAATGATTGGCTTGTTCAAGTGCGGAATTATCTGCTCTCTCTGAGGAAAATGGTGTCATTTGAAAGACAGATATTTAAAAAAAGAGAGAGCTCAGAGGAAAATCCCGGCAGTATTGCAGAAGTGCAAAAAGATGAAGAGAGATTAGAAGGCCAAAACTTCCCCAATGGAGTTAGGTAACAGCTGCCAGGAATGGGCAGGGCCTCCAGTAGAGATGAGGCAACACTAGGCCCATGAGTGTATAAATACCTATGCTCTCTGCATATTCAAGCACCAGATGCCAGAAGAGCTGAAAGGATCAACTAAAGATCTGAAGAAACCACTTGAGAATCTGCATACATCTCTGAAGCTGAAGAAGAAATTCAGGACACGGTGGTGCTTTGTGTTGGCCTAACACCCATGTGAAGGAAGACCCATCAGCTCTAATCTTTAAAGGATTTATAACAAAAAAACAAACCAAAATGAAGGCATTCAGCATTGCAGTTGCAGTGACACTCGTGCTAGCCTTTATTTGCATCTTGGAAAGCTCTGCCATCCCGTTCACTGGGGTAAGAATCTGACTTAAACCCACCTCAGTTACTTATAAGCTCTAAATGTTTTGTCAGGAAGGATAGATGTGACTTCTAAATGTGCATATTTTATCAACAGGTTGGAGAGCTGGAGGAGGCAGGGGGCAATGACACTCCAGTTGAGGCACATCAAGAGATGTCAATGGAATCGTGGATGGTATGTTCAATTGGCTGAATGAATTAAACCAATTACCATGAGCAAATTAAAATTTAAGTGGATGCTGTTTTCCCCACGGAGCTGCCTTGTCTGTCCTCAAACACAGATAGCGAACGAAGTGTTGTTGATAACAGTTTTGTTCACGTCCCTTGTCTTCCACACAGATGCCAAAACATGTCAGGGAAAAGCGCCAGAGTCACCTTTCCTTATGTCGCTACTGCTGCAAATGCTGCAAGAACAAAGGCTGCGGTTTCTGCTGCAGGTTCTGAGGGTCACCTGCAATGCGAACCAACTTCTAATTTATTGTTTTATCTTTCTTTACCTTTCCTTCCGCTGCATTTATGAAAATATATTTTGACAACCAAAATGATTAATGGAGCAACATCAAGTGAAGAATCTATTTTATTTATTTTGTATACTTTATCTTTTTTAAGAATGTTGCACATATGGGATTTTTTTTCTTTACTGTAAAATTATTGTTTCATGTTGAATAAATAATCTTAACCATGGACCAAAGAGTATAGTGTCATTTATTTAAAATAATGCAACAAAAATTGTGAAAGAGCTTAGAAAATAGTTAGTGAACTTTAAATACAAAATGTTGTAAAATATCTGTGAAAATGAAAAAAATGTGTATTGCAGGCGATTTGTACATCTTCATTTGTAAAATTATGTTTTTGCATATATGACCCTTTCCACCAAATACTACAAAAATTATATCTCTTAATAAGAATCTGTTGTCAGACACTGGATATGACATTTTCTGATAAAACCTCTCAAAAGATGGTTTTAAAACTATCTTTCAAGAGAGCCTTTGCTCTGGTGGTCTTTGTGAAGCTGCAAAGACATTAATCTAGGGATTTTCTTGCAAGCTCTTATCTGATATCAGACCCATGCATACCTTGAGGTTTCAACGTCTTTCAATTTCAACTTTACACGTACTGCTGTAACCTCTTTGATCTGTACTTAAGCCCTCTTTTGTCACATATCTGGATTTTCAGTTTCTTTATTGATGTGATGGATAGTAGGTATATCCTGAAAAAGGCGAGACCCTTCCCTTCCTTTACAGACTGCATGACTCTCTAATATATTTTAAGTCATTTGGATTTGCCTTTTTTTTTTTCGCAGTCCTTTTATTTTTGGATAAAAGTAAATATACTGTTGCTTTTTGTCAGAAATTAGTTTAAAATTTCAATGGACTGTCTCATTGGAGTTCCATAAAAAGAAAAAGTACTAAAGAGACAGTTTTTTTTAATTATTACGGTTGATTTTAACGTGCTGACCCAACTAGCTTTACAAGTTTGTTTTTAATAAATCTGATTTAAATAACAACAGCTTTAATAAATAAATAATTAATAATTATGATTTACAACAAAAAAAAAGGAATAATAACAGTTTGCTTTAAAAGGGCTAACTATATGTGACCTCAGTTTGCTTAACTTTAAACCAAACTCTGGCCAGTATGCTTACCACTTGCTTCAGAAACACGTGTGGTTGATATTTTCAAAAGTGAAATTGGGTCAGGAATGTACAACTACTGAGAGTGAGCTTTCCCGGTCAGTGGGTCACTGTTTACCTCTGATGAGAATTTATAAAGAAAGTTCACACAAAAAACAAAGAAACCGCAATAAAATTTTTTTTTTTTTTTTTCATGTACAGATTTTCAAAATCTTCTCTTATGGGCAGAGGTCTTCAACAGGGGGTTCAGGACCCCTAGTGGGTCCACAGAGGTGCTGCATGGGGGTCGTTTAAGTTTTGGTTGATTAGACTTTTTTTTTTTATATTCCCCCCTGCAATTTTTTCCACTAACTGAAATGTCTTTAAATACACATTAACATTAATTCAACACACTGTAGTAAACAGATAAATGGAGGCAGAAGATGTTTTTCAGTAATCAATGCACACATTCAGCGACACACAGGAGCTCTTTTAAGCTGGGCACCGTTTCATTCACAGCACCTGTTCCATCAACGAGGAATCAGAAATACTTTAAAAATCCCAGGGCAAAATTACTTTCATTACATTACTCCATATGTAATAGGGTGACTATAGGACCAATTTGATATAACACAATTTCATACTATGTATAAAATTAAGGGGGTCCCCGCTCCATCTCGCCATTAGTTTGCGGGTCCTTGGCCTGGAAAATGTTGAAGACCCCTGCCTCAGAGCATTGTTTGACATACATTTTCCCTGTGCATAATATTATAGCTTTGATTTCAAAAAAGGTTTAATATTAGTACGTTATAAAAAATAAAAGAATATAAAATTATGATGAATGATTTAAATTAGGGCTGTATCTGAAAGCATCACCAAACATGACTAATGTTTAACATTTCTGGACAAAATCATCTTTACTTGGAGTTTTTCACTCACAGCCATTTTTAAGAGTTAACACAGAGGTCTGTTTATCACTGAGCTGCACCACATCTTCTGTCCGAATTAATGCAAGAGGGAGTGTAGGTTTCAGCTAGTGTTTTTGTGAAAACAGCAGCCTTTGATCCTTCAGGAAATACGGGTTATTCATGCTGATTAGAATTTAAACTGTCTGAAAGTTTTCTACTTTATCTCTGTCCATTTGAAATGAACAGAAGCCCAGAGAAAGCAGCCGCTCATCAAGTTCTACGCTTTGCACTACATCAGCTTGCAATGCTGGACAGAGATGTGAGATTGTGTTCAATAATAAAGAGTTTTTAAAAGTGCTTGACCAATGAATTCTGTCTGATCTTATTTTATTAACTATAGATCACAGCCTCTCATCACTTATCGTTCCATTTGAAAAAAAAAAAAAAGAGCATATATGCTCTGCATCATATGGGGAACTTCTTATCTCTTAAATTTTGAAGGAATAGTTCTTAATTGTCAATTTCTCCAATAGTAAGTTTTGAAAAGCTCAACCTCAGTCATCTTATTTTTATGCCAAATTATGTAACAGATCAGTCAACAGTTTCCTTATCATTTTTTAAAATATTAATATAGGATATAATTTGTTTGTTGACATGTGAAATAAAAATATGACCTGCAAGATGTGCATTAAGTTGATGTAGAATGCCTACAAATGTTCATACACCTTCAAGTTTATTGTTTTTCACACAGTTTTAAGGTGAGATACTGGTTTACACATTTTTTTTTTTACAAATAAGCTGCATTTATACTGAGTATAAACATTGTTGTGCTCTTTACTAATTACATGACTTCTGAAAGCAGTTCCCTACCTTACGATACATCCAGGTGTAGCAAAGGGTATAAGTACATCGCACCTAAAGCTTTTGTAGATTACAGATTTTGAGATTTTAACTTATTTTGAAAACAATGTACATTTCTTTCAATCATGCACAATGTATAACAGAGTTGATAGATCAGCTGTCACTTTATTGACCACTTGCAAAATGGTTTCCCATGACGTGCTACGGCAGGGCTTGAAGGTCACATGTATTCAACAGTAGTTTCTGGCTTTGGCCTTTATGCAGCAAGATTTCCCCAGGCCCCCTCAATCTTTTCACACAATTATTCAACTGTAGATATTCTTTGCCCTTTTGCCTTGACTTCTTCTTTTTTTTTTTTACAAATCCAACCTAATCCTTTGGTGGAGGCATCTTTTTCAACCAGTGTTAACACCTGTGCTGAAAAATATTGTTTTGTTGTACAGCCTTCCAGAAAGTTGCACTTATACATCTTATCTACTGTTTTGCTTGCCTCTTGTTTTTTTCTTTTGTATAAAATCTAAGACCTGTCAACATTGCCCTATACAGGTTGCTTATTATCTCAATTTAGACAGGAAGTTAATCTCATATTTATCAACATTTGTAAAAATAGGTTTTCCTGTTTTTTTTCTTTATACATTAACACAAATATTAAAAGCAGATATTAGCTGTAGTTTCATAAACTTCAGACAAATCTGTTTTAAAAAGAGTGATGTAATTTTTGCAGGACCAAACTGTGGAGAGACAAGACTGTATTCACCTTTATAAAATAAAGTCAGAGAAAAAGTCCAATAATTCCAGAACCTCCCTGGGATATGCGTAAAGTACTTTAAAATGTAGAATTGGCATCAATAACATTTTAAGTACATGTTCCCATGAGTGATATATACTTTTATCAGTAACAATCCAATGTCACAAGCAATATGACTACACAGACACAAATGGATGATTTAGAAAATGTCCTTCACTTCTTCATGTTTAGAACCATGTTTTCAGTTGCTTACATTATGTGTGAGAGGACAATCTGTCAGGAGCTTCAGTCGTACAAGAAAAACAGCGATGAGTATATATGACTTTTTAAAACTGCAAGGTTTTATTTGTGCTTTTATTATGCATGGAATACAGTGTTACATCACAGTGGAAGTGTGTTTCCAACAGATGGGCTTATGCAGGTGTAAATGTATTCTGTAGTCTGTCTTAAATGACATTTTTTCATTTAGAGGGCTTAAAATCTTGTCTTATCAAATGTACCACAAACACAGTACTTTTTCTTTTGCTCGATACAACTTTGTTCTTCGGCAGTAGAGAATTAAATAAACCCTGGAAGTGTCCAATGCCGGTCAGAGTACATCCAATAAACTCTGCTGGCCTACTTAATGTAGCCCAGGATGAGTCTTTAATTTGTCCTAGACAGTCAATTGAGAAGGAGAAAAGAGCCATCAAAAGAAAATCAACATCACTGTGGGCAAACAGAACTTCAATAAGAATTTTTAATGACCCATCAAGAACGACTGCTAACGGCATTAGAGACACAATGGTGCCTGCGTTGTCTCATCTTTGTTTAGCATTTTCACCTCAGGCAAGTTTGTTTATTGGATTTTATTTAAATTAAAGTTAACTCGCTGAGTTTGATAATCTATGTGTGGATTCATGTGCTCAGGAGGAAGATGTGAAGAATGTTTTCCTACTCCAAGAAAACACCATGGTTACATTTCAGAAGAAGTTTAATTCAGGTGTGATGGCAACAAACATGCTGACATGAATACATAGTTCACAGAGTAAGTAAATAATACCTGCTGATGTAGATCAAAAAGTGTTCCTTTAAGAGCATTTGAAGCCTAATAAAGACCTGCTTTGGAGGTACAGTAGGTGGTCAACCACAAAGACAGTCAAGAGTCAACTGAAATTAACTGAAGCCCCCTAGTGGAAAGGTAGGATAGTAACCAATACAGATAGCTTGTAAGGACGGATAATGATGTGGCAAGCAGTGTGTACCAGTCACAACCTCCAGTGTAAGAAAATAAAGGAAATTTGGTTGAAAACTGATTGTTCTACCCCAATCGTTGCTGAAGTTGTTCTGACTAAAGATGCTCGTGTAAATGATCATTTATCTGGGTCATGGCAACACCAAAAAAGGCTTAAACAGGAATAGAAACGAATACCAGGAATAGAAAACCAGCCTTTCATTCAGTTTCTTTCTGTTGTCTCACACAGAGCAATCTGTACTGTAGTTGCAATGCCAAG